CATTCGTGATTGACTTTTACGTGCTTTCTTTCCCCCCACAGGTATGTAGTGGGATTTTTCTTGATTCTCACCCAGCTGGGGTTCTGCTGTGTGTATTTCGTATTTCTGGCTGACAATCTGAAGCAGGTAAGATTTTGGCTTTTGTTGGTGATAAGGGGGGTGGGGAGTGCTCGTTTAAAAATTCTCCCCCAGGTTTGGGGAGGGAGTGATTGACTTTTACGTGCTTTCTTTCCCCCCACAGGTATGTAGTGGGATTTTTCTTGATTCTCACCCAGCTGGGGTTCTGCTGTGTGTATTTCGTATTTCTGGCTGACAATCTGAAGCAGGTAAGATTTTGGCTTTTGTTGGTGATAAGGGGGGTGGGGAGTGCTCGTTTAAAAATTCTCCCCCAGGTTTGGGGAGGGAGAGGGGCCCAGGTTGTCCCTCCTACAACTAAAACTAAAACCAAAACCCAGGGAGAAGCGTCTTGCTTCCATAACTAGAGCAGCACAGGGAAATGGAAACCCTTCAGCCGAAGGACATAGCTCAGTATCCCCGCTGCACTTGTGCAGAGTGAGACAGTGACAGATCTAACCTCCCCTCTACTGCGTGTTTGTCACAGGTAAAAGGCTACTACAGGCTGAAACTCTCTGGTCCAGCAACATCCATGGTCTGGCGTGAGTTTAGTTAGGCCAATGTCCACTTATGTTTCCCACGATCCCATAAAGTTTGTTTACAGCCACCAGTCCTGGCCCTCGGTGTTCTGTGCTGTTGTTTCGCTCTAATTTACCCCTCAATGTCGTCTCAGAGCCCAGTAAGCAGGGGCAGTGTTGGTATTGCTGCCAGCGATATTGACCACCTGTGGTTCAGCAAATTCTCTGGTTCGGCACCGGTCGGGTCCCGAGAATGCTGGTCTAGCGAGGCTCAACCTGGCAAGATTTCATGTCTTTCGCATATGCAGAGGGAACTAAGCGAGCACCCGAGGGGAAAAAAAATCGGCGGTGATAAAACTTGCCTGCCACATCCCTTGGGTTCAGGGGTTCAGAGGGGAAGGGCATCATCCCACATGGTCCTATTGTGGAAATTTCGCACCTTCCTGTGAAGCCGTTGGGAGCAGCCATGATCAGATGGCACGTTGGAGCGGGTAGGACTGTAGCACCAACAAGCTCTTATTGAGACAGTTTCAAGGGGGTTCCTCTCGTAGCAGGAAGTCAGGAAAAAGAGCCCTTTTCAAGAGAACCAAACAAGCTAGGTCTGTCCCCTCTGGACTGCTAACTTCCAGGGCAGGGAAGTGTTTAAGGCGAGAAGGGACCATCGCATCCTTCAGGCTGGTCTGCAGATGACGTGATGTGCTGCCACCACCCAGCCCCTACACCCTAAACCCGGGAACTGCCATTAGATCAAAATACGACCGTCTGGAGACGGAGAGATGTGAAACTTGCGAGCAAGCTGGGAGTCCCCTGCCTGCCTCCCCATGCCAGTTACTCCTTTCCCTGTAAATGCCTGGAATCCGGCAGGCAGGGCATAAAACGGAAGCGCTCTCGCTTTCAAATAAATAATCACCAAGGAGATTGCCTTTGTGCCGGTGCCTCTTGAGGGCCAGAGTGATAAGTACATGCTGAGCACCAGCGAGGTGACTCCCTTGCTCTGAGCCAGGCAGGATCCGGGGGAGCTGCAAAGTGTCCCCCAAAATGTTGGTGGAAAACTCTTCCCAGCTGCTTCCCCAGCATGAAGGGAGCTTTCTGTGGGAGCCCCTTTGATGCTGTGATGTATCTGGGAAGGAGGCTGCATTAGTACACTACTTAATACACACTCGGCAGTGAGCTTAGCCGCTGCAAGAAATTCCTGGGGGTGTGCGTGTGATATCAGATGTGGGTGGAAGTGTGAGAACTCTAGAAACATGTTTTATTCAGATCACTGTAAATTCTTTCTGGTCTAGGAAAGGCGGAGGGGGGGAGAAGTGTGTGTATGTGTGGGGCTGGTATGAAAATTGGGCCGTAATGTCATGAAAACCAATAGCCTCAGGAGATGGAGGGAGAGGCTCTTCCAGTCCCCAGGTTTAGGAATACACCTGAATGAATTCCCAGGGGTTTCGTGCGGGTTCTCCAAACATGAAGTTTTTCTTCATGCAGCGCTCAGTCAACCTGTGGAACTCCTTGCCAGAGGATGTTGTGAAGACAAGGACTTTAACAGCGTTTAAAAAAAGAGCTAGATACGTTCATCAATGGCTATTAGCCAGGATGGGTAGGAACGGTGTCCCTCGCCTCTGTCAGAGGCGGGGAGTGGGTGGCAGAATAGGAATTGCTTGTTGGTTCCCTGTTCTGTTCACTCCCTCTGGGGCACCAGGCGTTGATCTGTCAGAAGACCTAGACGGACCTTTGGTCTGACTCAGCATGGCTGTGACGTTCCCCGCATTGGTTCCCTCTCTCTTTCAGGGGAGACCTATTTCCAGAGGGCAGTGTATTCGTGTGTGAGGGGACCGATCTGTGTGTCTGCTCTGTGTGATGCGCTGGTTTACCTGCCCCTCCCAGACCCTGTCACTCAGTCAGGAATCGGGGGCAGGTGCGCACATGCAGCCGCTGTTAGTTCTCCGACCCCGCTGGCTGGATGATGCTATTTCCATGCAGGCTTCCTTCCAAGGGAACCCCTTCACATGCCTTTCATAATGGAGCGCTCTGGGAGCTGGCTGATGTGCAACGAAGCAGACAGTCAGAAATGGAGCTTCGAAGTTTGCGTGTTTACTGGCTGAGGGTGGGGTTTCAGAAAGCAATATTTTGGGGGCATTTATTTTACATGATCATGAAGTAAATTCTCCCCTCGGATCCTGAGCATTCAGTGTTTGTAGATTGTCTTTCTGTTTTGTGCTGTGCTTAGCCACCCCGGGAGTGGTTATGGCTTGGGTAACACATTGTGTGCGAACAGCAAAGTGCCTTTAATCCAATCGTGGTGTGGCCAAAAAGGAATCAGGATGTTTCTACTTTATGCAGGGCGTGAGTGTGCGTTGAGTTCTTTGTAAACATACTGTGCTGGTTTTTTAATAGACTACAGGTTGAACCTCTTTGGTCCATCAACATCCGTGGCTTGCCCATGATTTTAGTGAGCCAGATCCACTTATAAGTGTGGCCAAGTTTCCTGTGGTCCCCATACAGTTTACTTACAATCACCAGTCCTGGCTCTCAGTGTTCTGTGCTGTTATTTAACTCTAATTGACCTGTAAATGTCTGCTAAAGGCCCAGCAAGTTGTGGAAGTGTTGACAATGCTGCTAGACAATATTGACCTCTCCTGGTTTGGCACCGGTCAGATCCTGAGGGTGCCGGACTAGAGAGGTTCAACCTTTGGTTAGATTGGCTAAAGAAGGTTATTTGTAACTTGTTTGGAAATCCTTCCTCGGCCGTCCAGCAATCTGACAGCTTATCTCAAGTGTCTTTCAATACCCAGGATCTCTGAACCGGGCAACGGGAGGATGCTCTTGTTTGTAAAACACAGAACTGGGCTCTGTTCCCAGCTTGTCACTGCACGCCTGGCCTGGACTTGATGCGAGTCTCTGCGTCCTTGTGCTTCGCGTTCCTCATCTAGGAACTATGATGTTTCTCACTTGGAGGGCTGAGTTTCATTTGGTATTTACGAAGCGCACTAAAATTCTTATGAAAGCCACTATAGAAGTGCAAAGTGTTTTTGTAGGGGAGCTCTGTCCCCCTCCCTCCCTGTCCTAGAGTGGTGTCGGGTTATTAAAAGAAGTTGCAATATTTAAATCTTTTGCTAACGCCTGCTAACTTCTTAAAGGGAGACCATAATTACATGACTAGGACTCCTCATCACCTGTGTGAAATCGGTTGCCAAGTTCCTGTTGTGACAGGGAACAATTCAGGATCCGGGGTATTTTGGCTCTTCTCTGCAGGTCATCTCGGCAGCAAATAGCACCACCAATGACTGCTACTCCAACAAAACCATCGAGCTGGCTCCCGCCATGGACTCCCGCCTGTTCATCCTCTCCTTGCTGCCGTTCCTGGTGCTGCTCGTCTACATCCAGAATCTCAAGTTCCTGTCCATCTTTTCCATGGTGGCCAACCTGGTCATGCTGTGCAGTCTCGTCATGATAAACTGGTATATCTTTACGGTACGTGCGGTTACCTAAAGCCACCTGCCTGTGCGGTCTAGAGATCTTCCTGACGGCTTCCACACCTCACCCTGGCACCGTGTAGGGTGGTCTTCAGCAGTTTGAGAGCCGGGCGCACCTGCTGGGGCCCAGGGCTTGAGCCTGGCAGGGAAGGAGGGAGTCTTGGAGCTCATGCATGGCTACGGGGGGTGTGTCTGACATCAGTGCTTCTGCTGTAGCCCTCAGAGCCTCCCTTCCACTGGTCACAAGACCTGAGATCCAGCACCCTGCCGCAGGGCAGAAACCCAGAGCTCCCGCCCACCCCGAGTCTGGGAGGTGGAGCATGGTCGGGGAGGCATGGAGCGGTCTGGGAGCTGCACTTAAACTGTGAAGGAGCTGCAGCTTGGTTACCCCTGCTCTTAGGGGCTGCTGCAGGCTAAGCCTGCTAGAGGCGTGGATGTGCGGTGAGGGGAGCATGTCCACTCAGACCGGGGGGGTGCAAACTTTTTTCCTCCTTGTGACCCAGTTGAAGAAAATTGTCGATGCCATGACCCAGTGTCGTGTGACTGGAGTGTGGGCTCTGGGGCAGGGCTGAGGGGGAGCTTTGGGGAGGAGGCGGGAGCTTTGGGGGGGGGCAGGGCTGGGGCAGGAGGAGCTTCCCTTGAGTGGCTCCGT